ATCCTAAGAAAGCATGTTCTCTTTAGCTCTTGTATTCCTTGGATTCACACATTTTTAAACAGAGTGATAAATGCTATTTAGGAGTTTGAAAAACAAAGACTTTTTAGTCTGCTTTTCCACTTCATAGCTCTATGAAGATGTCCTGAAGAGAAAACATTCCAGGGAACATAGCCAGAAAACATTCCAGGAACATTCCACACGGTGCCCACAGCCTTTGGCTCTGTGATCTGTCACTCAGAAGCTGTCCCTATCCACTGGCTGCGTTGCCTGAGTCTCGCATCCCATCCAACATTCTAAACAGTTTGCTGTTTCTCTCCCCCCCCCAGCCAGTCAGAACACAGAGGTTATTTGTATATGTGGCCTGATTGACCTTTGCCTCGGAGCACAGAGGTCGTTTGCATATGTGGCCTCATTGGCCTTTGCCTCTAACATTCTAAACAGTTTGCTGCTGCTGTTCTGAGGTAAAATGTGTTTTAAAGTACCCTTTGTGCCTGTTGGGAGAAACCATTGTTGCCAATCTCCAGGTGAGGGCTGAAGATCACTCAGAATTACAACTGCTGCAGGTGAGGGGGGGTGGAAAGCTGAAGAGTGAGTGGGAAATAACGGTAGGTTGAGGATTGGCTAAGAAGGAGATAGGGTTGCCAACTCCAGGTGGGAAATTCCTGGAAATTTGAGAGATGGAGCCTGGAGAGGGTGAGCTTTCAGTAGAGGTGGGACCTCAGACAGGTACAATGCCATAGACTCCCCCCTCCAAACCAGCCATTCCTTCATGGGGAACCATTGTTGCCAATCTCCAGGGGGGGCTGGAGATCACTCAGAATTACAACTGCTGCAGGTGAGGGGGGGTGGAAAGCTGAAGAGTGAGTGGGAAATAACGGTAGGTTGATGATTGGCTGGAAAGGAGATAGGTTTCCAACTCCAGGTTGAAAAACTCCTAGAGATTTGAGGGGTGGAGCCTGGAAAGGGTGGGGTTTGAGGAGGGGTGGGACCTCAGTCAGGTACAATGCCATAGACTCCACCCTCCAAACCAGCCATTCCCTCATGGGGAACCATTGTTGCCAATCTCCAGGTGAGGGATGGAGATCACTCAAAATTACAACTGTTCTTCAGGTAGCAGAGATCAGTTCCTCTGGAGAAAATGGTGGACTTGGTGTCATACCCTGCTGAGGTCGCCACAGCAAATTGACGCTGAGTGCCCAAGGCCAGGGCACTCTCCCAGACCCTCTTTCTAGAGCTCATTGTATTTATTTCCACAAAGGGCCTTATTCCTAATACCTGGAATAAAACATTGTTGGTCTTCTTAAAGGTGCCATGGGATTCTCTCCCTCTCACTCAAGGGAAGAGGGGAGCTTTCAGCCAATTGAGAAAAATAAGGCTTGGCTTTCTTTCTCTCCCCTGGAAGCAGGAAGCTGGAGAAGAGAGAGCTGGGCAAAAGCAACCAGCGATGCAGGAAGCAGGAGGGAACCAGCTGCTTACAGCCTGGATAAGAGCCTTGCGGGGGCCAGATCTGGCCTACGGGCCATATGATTGACACCCCTGAGCTAGGGGTTCATCTTATCATTCCCCTCCCAACCCATTTCATAGTGGAAATAAGGAGTCCCAGGCTCTCTAGATGCAAAGCCCTAAGAATTTACATCAAAATGTCTTACAGAAAATATGGAACTTTGTTACATGTAGCCAGTATTCACAGTGACTTGCGCAAAGAATACTATTTTACTGGGGGGTGGGATTTAACACACACACACACACACACCTATTTTGTTCGTCTTTGTTGTATAGTATGTACCACAAGCACAAAGCAGTTTGGGGGCAGGAATTAGTCTTATCCAGTTTGAAGCTTTTGGCAATATGACTGCAATTACATAAGCTGGAATGTGGCCACTTTATAAAAGCAGTTGGAATTAATACTGTTCATTTCTGAAGGATCCTGTTAAGCTTTGCAACAGTTCATAGCAGGAACTAAGTCTTATCCCTGTCTTGCAGAAGGAGAGACAGGTATGCAGTAGAGAGCTGATGTGCAGTGGAGGACTCTTAGAAGAAATGCTGTATAGTAATAATAGTAATATGCCTTTGTCACTGTTGTGGAAGCTAGTAGTTGCTGCAGTACAATTGTCTATTCTCTCTTGCTGATTTGGGAGGGGGAAAATGTTATAGATCTTTGTCATTTGAGGATCTCCTAGGGCAATAATCTCCAGTGCGATTCCCATAGGCATCATGGTGCCCGCTGTTGTGTTTCCTGGTGTCCACTTTCCTTCTTTTTCAAAGCAAAGATCTAATCCTGGCTTTCCTCCACCATATTTATTGTATCTATAAGATATGCATTGACTTTTGAGCTATGAGCATTGGTAGGTTTATGTAATAAGAAAAGAATAAGAGTACTATTTAGTTGACCTGAGCCATTGACTATGTAGAAGCTATGCAAGATTGTAAAAGACACAGCATGTCATAACCCAATCCAGTATATAGCTATTTATAACACCTAACTGGGTGTAGTTAGGATGATAGACATGGACCAAAAAGATGTAAATACATGTTAAGGTTCTTGAGGATTTTTTTCTATGTATGACATTCATTCTGAGCAGCTCTCCCCTTTTCTGTAAGCCACAGGATGTTTTTCCCTAGGTTACTAATCACAAGTGAAGTATGATTTACTGCATTAATGTGACATCCATAGCTGGTAAACATCTTGTGTTTGGTAAACACCTTGTGGCATTAATCTTAAAAACAAAGTATAGAATAGCGAAATCCAAAAGAAGTTGAAGATGGATATTTAATTTTTTTTTGCTGCCCCATGTGGTGGGAACACATTATGGGAGGAGGCTCAGCTCTAAGATGGCCTGTCGTGAAACCATCTTAGAATAGCCTTGAAGTTGGCAGCATCATAAGTGTGAGGGTGCCTCTTACCATGTGCCACCATCAGCTCCCACTTTAGGTTGCAGACATTTTCTGCAGTTAATTAGAGCCCAGTGCAGTAGCACCAGTGCAGAAGAACCTTGTGTTCTTCTCTGTTTGTGCTGAGCCATCTTCAACTGGCTGCAGAGATTCTCCACTGGACTTTGGGTTCTGCGGCACCAGTGTGGAGAAAGCATCCACTCCCTCCCATGCTGCTCCAAGGTGGGATTTTGAGACTGCCTTAGGCCCAATCTAGGTGGCAACAATAGGCTCAAGCTATGCCAGTTTCCTCCTCCCAGTTAGCAGTCTGTGTAGTCAGCCAACCCTGTATACCCAAAAGAATGCTTTCATAGACTTTTACAATACCCTCACCCAACTTTTGTCTCAAATTGGGACTACTGTGTTATAACTAATTTGCTTTGCCTGCTTTTTGTGCATGATTCAATCAGTTCTTAGACACGTTCAGTGATTTCATATTTTATTTTTCTATGTCAACATATGTCCACTTGAATTGCAAGAAGAGCTCCACAAGTGTGGGAACCAAACTAGCACATTGAAAATGTGGGATGTTGCCATGTAACTGGCTGACTGTATGCCCAGCTCACAAGCAATGCACATTTACTGTATATGTGCTGAAACTAGGTGGCAGGTCACCCAGCATGAACTTTCCATGAACTTTGAAGCTGTTCATGGAGTTTCATGCCAGTTTGTGAGTGGAGACTGTTCATGACAAACTCTCCACATAATCAAAATGTTTACAGAACTTCAAAGCAACAAGTTGGAAGACATGTAGAGGAGCATCCAGGGCATCCCTGCATCTTTGATATCTCTAGCTTGTATAGGATCTGTTCTATAAACTCTGGAACCTCAGTCATTTTGACAGATGCAGGTTCAGGCAGTCCTGTGCAAGCTAGAGAAACCAAACTCACAGGGGATCTCTGGCTGACTCTCCTCTACATGCTCTGCAAGTTTGGTGAGGATTGGATTTACAAGGTCCAAATTATGCTCCCCCCAAAGAAGGTGCCCCCAGGAAAGTGCTTTCTGGTGAAATGACAGGCAGTCATTTCCCCAAAAAGCACTTCGGGGCATAACTTAGACCCTGAAAGTTTGGTGTCTCTAGCATGCCAGGGGTGCATTCTACGTCCTCACAAACTGAAGTGGTTTGTGAGACAGCTAAAAATTTGGGATGGTCCATGGTTCATGAACAGAGCATGTCACAAACCAAACTAGATCGCATTTTCCTGGTTTGTGCCCATCCCTACTTGCTGCTATCTGCTACTTCCACAGTGGGGGTACTTTTTCCTGCACCTGGGTGGAAGTAGCCTAGGTTTGCATATAAGCATAAACCATAGTCTGTCAGTTCTTCTGTAACTAAATACTATTTTGTTGCAAACAATGGAGTAATTAATCAGCACCTTAGGGTGCAGATCCTATGGAGTATTTCCACTGATGGATTTCCTGAGGGATCCTCAGGAACAGCATTTTGGAAGGCATTTTAGGCTGTAGCAGGAGGAAGAATGTAAGAAGGTTGTGCTCCACTAACAGAAAATCCTTCTATCCCCTTGCTTTCTAATCCAAGTGGCACAGGGAAAATGCTAGTAAGGCTGATGCCCATTCCTATCTTATTCTGTACACTTAAACCATGGTGTGTTGGTCTGTTATTAAAGCCTGATCTACTGGACAGATCCTCTGTCTTCATTCTTAATATACCAATTTGATTTAATTTAGGTTGCTCTAAGCAAGTTAGCATTAATTTCTAGTTTATTATTTTTATTGATGTTTATTCAGACACTTAAGTACACTCACATTTCATTCATTTTTGTTAATTTTGCAGGGCCATTGCAGATATTCTGAACAGTAGTAATGCATCTCTATAAAATGCAAATATAGTTTAGCTTGGCAGTAGACTCCAGAGTTTAAGCAGAGATAAATTGAATCTTCAGAGTAGTGAATAGTATGTGACCATTACAAACAGAATTTACAGCTTGTGCCCCATTGCATGGTTTGATACTCTGAACATATGTTCCTCTTTCATATGTGTTAAAAATCTGTTACTTGATCACCTTAGCACTGTAAAAATATGTATAATTTATATTTTTATACCACAGGGGATATATTTTATTTGATGATAAAACCTATATATTGGAGCCATTGGAAGGTGCTATAAGTGAACACATAATATACCAAGCAGAGAACCTAAAACTAGCACTGGGTTCTTGTGGTCATCATCTCAACATCTCAGGTATCACATGGGAAGATGCTGCACAGTCTAATCAGATGTTTTTTAGCAGGGTAAGTCAAAATCACAGTTTTGTACTTCAAGCTTCTTTTCACATTACCGTTCCATACCAGATGTTATTTGTTGTTGGCCCAATTTCAAGTAAAGCAACACAGGGATGGGGGTTTCATACAGTGAATTTCCTTCCGTTAATGAGCCGTCTCGGAGGTGCTTTGGTCATTTCAAACAGTGCCACTTCCCCCACACACCCTTTTTCATCAAGTGATCTTCCTCAGACTTTTAAAAAATGTTCTAAGGTGAGCGCTATAGTACTAAACTGCTATAACACTGAAGTGCTATAGCGGCACCGTTGAGATGCATTGACTTCAATGAGTCAATGCATCTCAGTAGGGTTTAGCGCTATAGTACTCACTTTAGAACGTTAAAAAAAGTCCAAGGGAAATTATGCAGCAAAAGGGGGGGGAGCAGCATTGTAGGAAGTGCTATGGACATTTTAAACAGCACACCACAGGAATTCAGAAGCTCAATGAAGGGGTTGAAAATGGAAAAACCAGTTTTTTTCAAAAGCAGCTCAACCAAGCTTTTCTAATCTGACTGAAGCAGGTTTGTATGAACAGGTAAATAAATTCTGCTAGCAGCCAGTTACTAAAACGGGTCTGTCTAAAATGACAGAAAAAATCCATGAGCAACCAGTTACTAAAATGGAATACAAAGGCAGCTTGAAAAGGAGATTTTTTATCAAATTCTAATGTATTTTTAGGGTAACTGTGTTAGTTTATCCATCCTACAGTTATTGTAACATCTACCATATTGTACATCTCAAATGTCTGAGCCACTGGCCTTATCCTGACTAAAGTCCTGGGTTCATATGTGCTCATATTCCCTCAAGACTTTCAACAGGACCGCAAATAAATTCCAGCACTTGATCAAGAGCTTGGAAATTTTAATATCACTTTTAAAATACTATCTTCTATTTGCTTCCACAAATAGACAACAGAAAACCAAATACCAATGATGTAGCCACTGAAAGAGTATTGCATTGCATAAATTCAGGTGGGTAGCCATGTTGGTCTGAAGCAGTAGAACAAAGTTTTAGTCCAGTGGCACCCTTAAGACCAACAACATTTTATTCAAGGTATAAGTATTCGTGTGCAAGCACACTTCTTCCTATACAGATCTGAAAAAGGTACTTCATTATCTGAAGAATTGTGCTTGTGCACAAAAATTTATACCTTGAATAAAAATGTGTTGGTCTTAAAGGTGCTACCGGACTCAAACTTCATTCTGCATTGCATATGTAAGGGCATAAAGAGTTGGTCTCTAGATTCCAACCACATGGTAAACCCAGCATTAGTATCCCTTCCTTGCAGTTCCACTTAGAAATCGAAGAAGGCAGCAACCAGTATGCAAAGAATAAAGTTTACCATGTGGCTGGTATGTGATTTCGGCCACCGTGCGATAAACTTCTCAGCAGCTGCCTTATCCTTCCTGCCCAATCATTTCAATAATAAGTTCAATTTAAAAAATACTCCTAAACAGACTATGAAATAATGGCATGGTGAAAAGAAGACTCAGAATTTACGGATGTTATTTTTTCCTGTTCATATTAACATAATTTGGTAAATCTCTTATGTAGCTTAATTATTTCTTTTTAAAAATTGCAATCTTGGATGAATGAGGAAGTTGATTGTGCTAAAACAGAGATTAGCTGTGCCATGCAAGCCAAGAGAAGTGATAATTAGGGACATTTTAGAAACAAATGGTCTATCCAGGAAACAACCCCCCCCCCAGCTAGTAATGGAATGATTAATAATATTAATCAGGCAGAACATGCTCTCAAGCTTAAACCTACTATAGTTGGTTCTATATCTTATAGAGCTCAGTTGTTTTATGAAGTTTTTATTCCTTTGTAATTTACACTTTAGGGATCAGGCAAAATACCTCTCATTAGTTTGTTTTGAAGTATTAGAAACTCATAATGTATTATGGGTGTCTGTTAAAACTTCACATATAAAAGGAATTCATTTTTAAAAGAGTGGCTTAAAAAAGGGATTAGACAAATGCATGGAGGAAAGGTCCATCAGTGGCTATTAACCATGATGGCAAAATGGAACTGTCATGTTCAGAAGTAATATACTTCTGAATTCCACTGGCTGAGGTGGCAGCAAGGAGGAGTCTTCTCTTTGTGCACCTTTCCAGGCCATCTGGATGATTTTCAAATTTCTGTAATCCAAATCCTGTTGCACTGTTTATACAATGTCCCTGCCTGTTCATCGCATAAACTTACACAATGTAATCCTCCTTGAGCCTCAGCAAGAAAGGCAAGCTATGAATAATGTAAATACATAAATCTGTTAGAAACAGGATGCTGGATGATGTTGACCATTCTATTATAAACCCACCTCCCAAATGTCTGAAGAAGAGTAATGCAGAATGAATTGAGAGCATTCAGCATCAGGCAGCTTAGAAACTTTAAACCCACAGGCACAATAAAGCAGTATGGCCCATTCTGCATACTGACCTTACGATCTGTGTGGTTGATCTCCAAGTTTTGGAATCCAGTGCTCTGCACCTCATCCCTTTCCCTCATACTATTTCCTGCTTTACAGTCATTGTTTTCCTGTTCGCACTGGATGACAATCCAGTTTTAAAATTCGAGGGTGCCTTCCCCCTTTGTAAAATTTGAGTGATCCTGTGCACTAGCACTAAATTGAGATCTGTCACCCAAGATGTCACTTGTTAAAACTGCTGTGCTTTCCCCCAAAATGTTCTTGCAATAATTTGAAGTCCACCCCCTTTATAAAAAAAAAAAGACAATTGCAACATGGCTACTGATCATGGGCTATCTGGTACCATTTTGAGTAAAACACCAATGAAAGTTCATTGCAATATACACAAATAAGAGTGGTATGTACAGCAAAATAATGTAAATTATTTCCCCCCCACTGCTGGCTACTTAAAATTACCATAGCTAAATTCTCCCAGTGTCTTCTCACTTCTGACACCCACCCCAGCAACATTTCTATTTGCTTTCATCCAACTGACACTTCCTCCTGCCATCTTTTTCCTTCTATACCCTACTTCTTCTTGCCCCCTTAGCTCCAGCACTGCCCCCCTTGCCCTCCCACTGCCCCCTTTCCTCAGTCTCTGCCATCTCCTCCCTCTCCTCACCATTTTGCCTACCCAACCATCCCTCTTCCACAACTTGCCTGCCTTCTTGCTGCTCTGTCTGCCTGCCCATCCTCCTCACAGTTCTGCCTGCCCACTCATTCCCCTGCTTGCCACTCTGCCTGCTCATCCATCCCTCCAAAGCACTTTGCCTGCCCATCCATCCCCCTCAGTGCTCTGCCTGCCTTTCCTCCCACTGCACTCCCCACCACTCTGTTCACCCACATATCCTCCCCATGTCACTTGGTAGGCCAGCTATTTGCCAGCCCACCCAGCTCCCACTACTTGTCTGCCATAGCAGCTCTCACTCCCTGCCATCTCAAGTTGTGTGGGGTTTCTCCTCCTCTCACCCCTTTCCTGCTGCCCTGCCCCCTACCACTGTGCACACCCCACCCCCTTCCCCTACACACCTGAAGGTCTACTGCCGTTGCCCATCAGCGGCTCCAGTGGAGGTGCATTGTGTGTGCACGCACAGACAAAAACTCCTTCTTTTCCTCCCCAGTTTTAGATTTCTTTGCTAAGCTGCAAGTGTCCCACAAGTTTGCTGAAAAAGTTCCCTTCTGTGTATATGGCTCCAGTCTGCAGATTTAAGTATCAACAGATGGGGCCAAGTGAACTATTAGATATATTGATGATACAGGATGGCCTTAGTGACTTCTTCCACTGGAGTATCATGTGCAAACATATCTATAATAGAGTGTTGTGTCACGCATGCTATGCATCAGCTGAGTTTCTGTTCATATGTACCTGCAAATTGTTCACTACCCTGCTTTCTGTACACCTTTGTGCAAACTCTGTCACAGTATTGTGCAGTATTGTGCAGCACAGCAGTCCACTGTAGTAATGCTGTTGTTCCAGCACAGCAGTGCCTATAAATGCTGCTGCGTACATTTGGCATCCTGTGTCTAACTATATGGTACTAGTTGAGCCCAATCCTGGGTGTTGATGCAGGATCTCACAGGCTCATGCCCTTCACCTTTAAAAATGGAAGAGTCATTAGACAGTATGTACTCTTGCCAATAAGTTCCTCTTGATTTTCAGGTTTTTGGTTTTGGTGTGGGGGGTGTATAATGTGACTGTTGAGAAGTAAGCTGGGCAGTATAGTATTTCAGCAATGCACAAATAAATGTCCTTATAAATCTTGCCTGGAGACTCCAGCTTTATTGTTTCAGACCACCTCAGCTTGTTAAGGAATCTCTTCCAAGCGTCTAGAATTGGACATTCAATTTGGATTAAATTGCTTTAGTTTTGTTTTTTTTATGTTGGAAATCATTTGTTTAGACCCAGGACAATATGCAATTATTTAGTATGATAAGCACGAAAGCTTTTGCTCAAACTTGTTAAATTCTGTCGAAAGCTCATTTCTGTCCCCGATTTCATAGTAGGAAAAAGTGGTGGCCAGCTTGCCTGCAATAAAAACTTCCTGGCACTATAGATGATAATATAATAACATCACCTCGGAGAACATTTAACCTGTGCGTGTTTACTCATAAGCAAATCTCTCTCATTTCAGTGGGGTTTACTCCCCGGGTAAGCATTCTTAATAGCTTCACATTGAGGCAGACTTATTCATTTGTTGTGCCTTTGGATATTTTTTCATCTGAATCCATGTTAATATGTGTTTCAGGCTTTCAGTTATTTTACACTCTAATAATATGAACATCACATGAGAACAAGCACATATAAACAAACATGCTATTTCAAGGATGAACCATGGGAGATCCAGGTTCGAATTACCATTCTGCTATGGAAGGTTGCTGGGGTGATCCTTGGCCAGTCACACACTCTCAGCCTAACATACCTCATAAGGTTGTTGTTAGGACAAAATAAAGAAGGGAGAATGTTAGGGTAGAAAAGCGGGCTATAAATAAACTAAGCTAAAATA